AGCTCTCCTTGACCCGCCGAATCGCACACCCCACAGACCCACGGGACAGCAAGAAACTCTCACCAAAAACCAGAAAAAAGAAAGCTTTTAGAACGAATTGCAAAGTGAAGAGGAAGAACAAACCCTTTTCCCCAAATCAATTTTATCTAAAAACTGCTCGAAACCCACTTATTTTCTTTGATCTGCAAGTTGAAACCGTGTTAGTATCCCAAAGCTCTGTTTTCGAGAAGAGTGAAAACTCTAATTGAACCAGAGAGTCCTAAGCAAAAGAATACCTCAGTGAATGCATATAAATACTTGTTAGAATAAGAAGTATTTGTTGTTTCAGATAACTATAGTAATTTTATTACTAGTATTTCTCCCGAGACTATAAATTGTATTTATAATAAACTAGTTTTATTAAAAATACGTTTTAAACATCTGATAAGGGAATTTTAATTATTAAAAACTAATGAATTTATTTTCTTTGTATTGAACATTCTGTAAAGTACTATAGTTAAAATGATTTTAAATAAAAGTGAAAATTTTTACTTTTGCAACATCTTATGTATAATAGGTTTTGGAATTTATGGATTCATCTGCCTAATAATTGACTGATTAACAATTAAAATTTAGATTATAGAACAATATTGAATTTGAATAAGAAAACAAAAAACATTTCTTTTGAAGAATTATGATATACATTTTTAACGAAAACAAATCTAATACATTTACAAATGAAAAGACTATGATAAACATAAAAATCGAGCGAGGGAGAAAAACATAAGGTAAAAAGATAAGTGTGAAAAAAATTTCTTCATCTATAAAACTATCTACGTATATATTTACAGAAAGAACTGTAACCTTTTTTCTAGTAAACATAAAAGTATAAAGAGTTTCTTTTCAAATAGCATTATATAAAAAAACTCATGAACCATCGTTACATTTATATTACCAACAATCTGAAATTTGATTATCTAACCGTGTGCTTGCATGTGGTCCAAGTGTCAACGGTTGATGTTTCTAAACTAAGACAATGCAAGGAGAAAGAGCTTGATCCAAAGTTTCTACACCCTCAACTCACAAATCTGTGTAGGAAGAAGATTGCTTGAAATTAAAAAAATTTAAAAAAAAAATCTAGACAGTTCTGCTACATGGTGAAAGATTATGGATGATTTAAAGAGATGATCGAGAGATTTGTGGGAGAGAAGTTTGGAAGATAGTGGGTGAGTTACAGTTTTTTTGGTCTTATTCTAAGTGGGCGGTTAAATAACAAAGTGGAGTCATGGAAAGTTAAAATTGTTATTTTGATTTTTCTAATAAACGTGAATTAGTTCTAAATTGTGAAATTTTTAAAATTGTTGATTTCCACTTGTCACATTTTTATTGGTGAAGTGGCTTGGGATTTAGTATATTAAGGATACTCAACATTTGTAAACACAATATCAAACCATTCATACATTAAATTTTGTTTATATACTATTATCTATTCATAAATCAAAAATTCTCATCAGC